TAGTTGAAAAATCAAAATTTTTTTGTCATAATCTGTTCTAGTATTCTGTTGTACGCAAACATTTACCAAGACGTTTAACACTGTGTAAAAAATTAGATTATTATAATATATAATTAGAAAATAAATTAAAAAATCAAAAAAGAGTCAACGAATCAGTTTTGTCTAGTTGATTACGCTTACGCATGACACGGAAAGAAGATTAACTTAACTGCACGACAGTGATAATTAACTATAAAAAGTTAAGTTACAACAATAAAAATGGGGGAAAGTGGGTGTCGCTCTGCTGTGCAGAAGATTACAAGTAGGTCACTGTAACGGATGTCACTGTAACAACCAGTGAAAATTTCATGTATATACGTTCATTTGTTTTAGAGTTACACCAATAACCAAAATCGATTTTTTGGAAAACCAATTTTGCGTAAAAATTCCCGTTTTTCCTTAATTTTTATGTTGTTTTTCCCGGCGCTTGTGAAAACTACTGGGAAATTTATACTTTTGACCCCCCAAAGTACCAACTAGATTCACTTTCCTACCAGAAAAGCTACTGATGAAGAAAATCCAAGCACTTTTACTGTCCTAAAACGTGATGACAGACACAAAAATATAAAAATATAAATAAAAATATAAATAAAAACATACATCATTGTAAAACCAATACATTCATCGCTCCGCTCAGAATCTAAAATTAAAACTGAAAATGTCCGTAAACAGCTCAAAGCAAGTCAAAATATTTGAAAAATGTTATGGTGTATAGAAAATGCTAATACAAACATTCAATCAATATTTCATGTACCTACTGTGTCATTTTTTTAAGAGTTGCACCAAAAACAAAAATCGATTTTCTCGAAAACAGATTTTGAGTAAGAATTCCCGTTTTCTTTAATTTTTCTTTTGATTTTCAAAGCGCTTTTGAAAACTACTGGAAAATTTTTATTTTAAAAAAAAAATAATAAAAATAAAAACACACATCATTGTCATATCAATACATTCATCACTCCACTCAGAATAAAAAATGTTTACTGAATAAGTTAAAAAGTTAAAAATAAAAAAAAGGTGGGCAAGTGGGTGTCGCTCTGCTGTACAGTAGGTTACAAGTGGGTCACTGTATAATGGATGGTATTACATTTGAATTCAATGATATTATATCATTGTATAAGAAAAACGATTCTGAGATACTCGATACTTATCTATGGTATATTGGTATTAAATAAAAATTGATCTATAATAGGTAAATACCTATAATGAATTCCAAATTATTAATTAATCATATCACAATATCCATTAGGTACCTACTTATAACGCGTTATACACCAACAACAAGTTCATATATTTTTTAGATTTTTTGGTTACAGTATGAACTATTTCTGAGAACCTTTGTTTTAAATTTGCAATCCTTAGCCATAAAAACTGAATATTTTATAATTTATTAATTACAATGATTGATAATTTTCGAGATTTTGATAAATTTTGTCAAAATTTGATCATTAAATGCTTATAAAAAAAAATTGTGGGTATGTATTTTTAATATTTTTCAATTGCTATTGTAACAATATATCAGGAGCCTTGTATTAAATTTTTACACTTTTTGGCCCTACAGATAAAACTTTATTGATATTTAAAGAAAAAAAAAACTAAAAAAATTTAAAACTGAAAATGTCCGTAAACAGCTCAAAAAGAGTCAAAATATTTTCAAAATTATACAGTGTGTAGGAAATATCAATATAAACTTCCAGTGAAATTTTCATGTATCTACAGTTATTCGTTTTTGAATTACAACAAAATAAGAAAATCGTTACATGAGAAATCGAGTGAATATCCAATGTATCAAAATAATTTGCTAATTTTTGTGATTTTTCCATATTTTGTCAATTTTTGAATTTTAAATGCTTTTAAAAAAAATTGTGACTAAGGATTTTTAATTTTTTTCATCTGCTTTTGAAACAATATACTAGGAGCCTTCTATTAAATTGTCAAGCTTTCGAAACCAACTAATAAAATTTTATTGATATTTTTAGAATAAAAACTAAAAAAAAAATGCAAAATGAAAATGTCCCTAAACAGTTCAAAACAAATCATAATATTTTAAAAATTTTATCGTGTACCTATAGAAATTGCAAATATAAACAACCAGTGAAAATTTCATGTATATACGTTCATTTGTTTTAGAGTTACACCAAAAACCAAAATCGATTTTTTGGAAAACAGATTTTGCGTACAAATTCCTTAATTTTTATGTGTTTAATCCCGGCGCTTGTGAAAACTATTGGGAATTTTAAAATTTGACCTCCCGATTGCACCAACTAGATTCACTGTCCAATCGAACAAGATACTGAAGTTGAAAATCGAAGCATTATTTCGACCACTTATCGTGTACACAGGCACAAATAAAATAAAAAAAATAAAAAAAAACACACATCATTGTAAAATCAATACATTCATCGTTCCACTCAGAATCTAATAATTAACTAGTTAAGTTAATAAGTTTAAAAAAATTAACTTTTAACTTAACTTTAGCTTTTTAACAAGTTAATGCCAACCTGTGTACAGTACTTAATACATTTTCCTTTAATTTAACAGAAATTATGGAGCTGAAAATACAGAAATATCTATATGTACAGCGAGACATGGGACACACTAAGATACGGTCCATATAGTTCATAGTTTCGATTAAATTTATAGTAATAATGCTTTGGAAATTTGTAATATAGTTTTTCATAAATTAATATTTAATAAAGTTGGCTTATTTATTTGTTTGAACTATTTGTATGTATTTTTGGGAGATCAGTATTACTGCACCATAGTTTCGCCTACAGATAAATCATTAGTATTATTACCAGGGCTGTGAATTAAATTAATTTGCATATTTTTTTGATACTCAGAATAAAATAATGGATACGGCTAAAATTTGTTTTGATTTATTTATAGTTCAAATGAAATCTTATTTAGCATATAATTTAATGGGTTAGGGTAAATAATTACATGTTTTCTTGGTTACCTAGCTAGTATGTAAATTAAACATTTTTTTTTTTTGTAGAAATACGAAATCCCATGCCTATATTATGGGTTAGACATTATTATAATTGCATATTTTCATGATTTTGTTTTATGAATGCTCATTTTCTTAAAAAAAGTTTTAATTTATCGGTCCATCAGGTCTAAATTGGCTATACATTCGTAATTTAAATTTTTTTACAAATTAGAAAAATAATGGTATTAATATGTAAATAAAGAATTTTATCACTCATGCCCAACTTTATATATTAAATATGCTCTGTTTTAACTTATATATTTATTTATTTATTTTACCGTCTGGACCAGGTTTTACAAAAACATTTACAGTTTTATTGTTTATTATTTACAGTAGATGAAATAATAATAGGGGGTCATTAACATTTACAAATAAGAATTCGTTTTTATAGAATACGGTTCGATAACCGTGGAATCAATGCTACTTGATTACTAATTATTAACTTGTATTGATACTCATGTCTCATTTTTAGACTCTAGTGTACAAAATTACAAATTCATAGAAAATAACCATGCTTCAATGTTTGTGACTATTATCAGTTTTTAAATAAAAAATACAGTATTTTGAATATAAATCGTTTACCTTTGTAATATCAATGTAGTATAGGTATATTGGAGGTAGGTAATTTCGACTAATGTAGTTTTTTCATTCAAAACACGTTCTGTGGAAATACCTACCTATAAAATTTTATAGCAATATTGTCAATTTATCAATTCCTTTATCAGAAAGATCTAATATAAATGAAAAACTGTTAACACCTCTCATAGCTGGATAGATACATAACAAAATATTCTAGTTTTTGGTTACTTTATAATAACTTCCTGACTCCTGTACCTGGAGTACACTTGGGACCAAAGCTAAGTTATGTTTATATAATATGTAGGCATATGCATCTTATATATTATATGCCTAAAAAACTTTTAATTAGTTGGGTAGTGAGATTTTATTTAATTAATTTTTAATTAATAATAGCCTAGTAAAATTGTTAATGGTAATAAAAAATATATTCATTTTTGATTTAAAATGCAATTAGGTATTATAAATATTGATTGAACTTTTCTATTATATATGAATAATATGTACATTTATGATGAAATATTTTAAAGTATCTATTTATCTAGGCAATATTGAGCTTTTACTGGCCAAAGAAAAATATCTATTTATTTATAATTTATAAGTAAAAGGTACCATAAATACAAATAATAACATAAAAATATATCTGCATGGCTACATAAGCCATTCAAAATGCATAAATTAACTTATAATACAGATCATAAAAACAATAATGACTAACCCATATAAAATCAATATATAATCATTCAGTATTTCAGTGTTTGCATTAAATATATTTGAATAATATAATGAAGTATTATCAAATATCAATTATAATCAGGATGTGTTGGTCTTGTTACTGTATGTATTGGGTAAATGTAAATAGTAACACAATATTTTAATTTCTTTGGAGTAAATGTTATATTTTTAATCATTTACTAGAAATTGTACAGCAGTTGAAACAAAATGTTGATGAAAAAACACCTTGTCTAAAAGGCGGTGTATTCATTGTTGCATTGAAATGTTGTAGATACCACATTTGTGCCAGTTTTTTTTAATTTTATTAACTACTATTTAGAATCCAGATGTATTAGTTAATTTGTTCTTATTATTTCTGAATAGTTAATTAAATAATAATTATATAGTATAAAGTAGATAAAATTGGTGAAAACAACAATGAAGTTGGTCACGGAAATAACAGTAATATTAATACTACACTGACAATTTGATAGAAATCAAAAATAAAATTCTGAAAATGATTTTAGACATATTGGCTGAACACGTTACAATGTATCATATAAAGTTTACATTATCATAAAGAAGTTTTGACATAATATTATTATTTTAATAAATGCCAAAAAGAAACGTTTATGAAGTAAAAATAATAAATATAAAGTTATACCAAATATCTAAGACTAGTTTAATTTAAGCTCAAATGCAATGATCCCATTAATGTCTCAAGTACATACAGCTGATTTTTCTTATTTAATTGCTTTTTCTCACTGAAACAGAAATAAATAATTTTATAATTATTATGAAACATTTAAAAAGTTGAGTTATTTTATCTACCTGTACATGTGTTCAACTCGTTTTAATGACAATGTAGCAATTTTCTTGAACGTATTTTTTTTTGTTTGATTATTTTTTTGCGATGACATCAAACTGCGAGCAGTCTAAAAGAAATTGTTTCGTTATACTTTAAATATATTGAAGAGGGCACCTCATATTGGTTTGTTATAATAAATTTATTTTGTGTGATACCAACACTAGTGGAATTAGAGTCAAATTATAGTCAACCAACTTATTATCAAGTTGAAAGATGAAATTATTCATTATCTTAGAACTGTGAACACGTCATGTTGTTGACTAGAATTTAGAATTAACTGATTTTAAAGATATACTTACATACATTAAATCAGTGTAAAATTTAAATAAAAGAAAAAAGAACTCAAAGTTACATCTCGTGTAATATTTTTATCCTAAATTTTATAACAGGTAAATTTTGTCAATGGTGAGTATTCAATTTGTCTTATAAAAAGTAACCATATTATGTTGATATTTTTCTCTAGAATCTAATAATTGATTTCATTTCAACTATTGTAAAAGAATAAAATACTGTTATTAATATAGTCTTACCAAGTATAATCCATACAAAGCTCGGATATTGTTAGGGTTAAGAAGAATAGCATATGAATAATGAGCCCGCGCTAATTCCAAATTTTCTGCACCTCCCTGAAAAATAAAATTCAATGTTTAATTTTATAATATACATACAATACAAGAAGGAATTCTAATTTTTACTTTATTTAAAGATTGAACACCTAACGGATTTATACAATATAAGAGTATATTACATAGTGGTCATAGAAAATTCACTGTATGTTAAGCTGTACAATATGCATACCATACAAGAAATTTAAAATAATTCTACAATTTGTAATTTAAGTTTCAATACTTGTGTGTATCGTATATCAGCATTTCGTTGATGATATAAATGATTCTGAGAATTATGTAGAATCATTTCTTCCATACAATACGCAGATTTTGCATACTCTCCTTCCAACAAGTATAAATTGCTCAATTCTTGCCAGCCTTCTTGGTCTACCATAAACCTGAAATTATTATGAAATTATACATAATCACGAATAAATTGATAGCAAATTTTAAGTATGTACATACTTTTTAAGATATTCGACAAGTTCTTTTATGGCTTCGCTTATCTGACATTTAGCTTTTAATATTGCGACTTTATGTCTCCTGGTTTGAGCATTGGTTTCATCAGCTTTGATAAGTTTGTCAAGAGATTCTAATGCTTCATCGTATCTAATTTAAACAACATTAAAATTAATTTCTATTATGAATGCTCTGGTGTATATTATCATTGAAATGGTAGTTTTTAAAAATGTACATGTTTCTGTAGGAAAAGTTTTTGATTTAATTATTTGATTAATATAGGAAAAATAAAATATCAAATAGATTCTGATTTAAAAAGCAATAATATTTTTTAAGTTTATAACACAAATATGGTTTAATTACTTTTCCTCGGCTTCTAGTATTGTTATAGCCAGTCTACGCACTCTAAGACTGTCAGGGAATTTATTAAGAAGCATTTGTAAACATACTTTGGCCACATCAATACGGTTACAATCACATGCTGCTATTAATACTTGTTCCAAAACTAGGTAACCTATAATGTTAGAAAACAAGTCATCAGTCATTTAATAAAAACATAGTTAATCATCATTAGTGAAAAAAATAAATTGTTTATACATGTTATATTATATTAAGTCAAAAATTAAATACTAACATTTATTTATTAAATTGGTAATTATTGGTTTATTGATTTTCTTGATTGATCAGATCTAAGTACATAATACCATTCTTTTTATACTAAACTTAATATTATTTATAATTTATTTCATATCAAAAAGACTAAAAGTAGGATACTTGTCTAACATTGGTATGTATGAGTAACAGCTATCAACTATCAAGTATAGTTTATTTTCTATTAACATACATTTTAAGTTTGGAAGGGCCAAGTAAAATGTAAAAAGGACACTGCAAAAACTATGGTCCACTACTCTTCTCATCTAAACTTTAAATGATTTTTATGATTATTCATTTTTTTAATATTCATACATTAACATTTTAGTAAACTAGTAAAGTATTCTGATTATTAAAATAAAATGCAAGAAGATTGTTGTAAAAAAAAATACCATGGTAAACTATTAAAAGAAGGTGATTAAATGGTAATGTTATTTAATTCATGCTTTATTATGATCAAAGTGAATATCAGTTTTATAAACAAATATATTAGAGGTATGTATTCAAATTGTGCACCACGATAGTTGGCAAAGGGAGCTGCATCAAGGAACCGAAAACCAAAATGAATGTAATATTGTTATTTTTAATTATTATATAGAAATTATAGAAATTTGAAGTTTTATTACTATAATACTATATTTTATTCAATATGATATCATGACCAGGCAGCCGAGTTGTGCGCAAGGGCGTGGCTTTGTTCTGTGGCAGCGCCTGACTTACCGCCGTAGTGGGAACGGTGTCTAACCGCCGTCAGATGAAAACTGGTTGCCTCTGGGTCATGATCTCATTTTAAATAGAGTATAATCGTATTTTTATCGCCCGTATTTTATCTGTCGACTGTTGTCGTTGATTAAAAACTTGCCAATAATTTAGGAGCCGTCATAATATTGTGTAGACACAAAGCAGCCATGAGAATAGAGAATATGGGATGATAAAGTTTGAATAACTCTGCCCTATATACTGTCTATTATTGATGGATTGATAAGGAGTATATTGTACCCGAATATGTGAACTCTGTCTTATTAATACATGATATAGAGAATTAATGTTCAGAAGAAACATTTTTACTCTGTTATTTTAAGTATTTTTTAATATTTTTCTTCCTATATAATTAAAGGTCCTACAATTTATTTTTGTCAATATAATTTTGAAGCAAGTTATAAACATTTTAAAATTGTATCTCTCAACTATAAAATAAAATAACTTTTTATGATCTGTTATTACTCGATAAAGTTTCTATAAATGTTTATTGGTACATTTTATATAAGTAATATTACATATCAGCCTTTATACCTATTATGCTCGTATACAATAAATTGAATTACCTAGTTGTTTTATGTTTAGCGTTAAATAAAAACTTATAGAATTTAAATTTCATAAAAATAAATGTAAATAAATGTCCTAGGTAGATATTTCCACGTTTTTGTTTTTTCATTAAAGCACTTACGATCATTTCCTAATTGCTTAATTTTATGTTTGACAGATGAATCCCATAATTCTAACACTTCTTTACTCTTACGTTCGTTGTCTTCTCTATACTTCTTAAGTTTCTCTTGAGCTTCTAAAAAAATAAATATAATAATAAGCCGACCGACTAATAATGAATCACGATGCACGATAAACGAAAACTTACCACTTAAATGGACCATGACTTTAATTATACTGGAAAATAAACTATAAAATCTTAACTATAAAAAATGGGATTGAGGAAATTTAAGAAGTTCAAAAACGGGAATAATAATCAACAATAATGGGTAATGGCTATTGATTAACGGCGCACAGTAGACAAATATTAATTAATGAAATATTCTCAATGTAAGTACTTCTATAAATTATAATTAAAATTTATATTGTGTAAATGGCAAATGTGTAATGAGTGATGAGTCGTACAAGTACATTGATGGGATTGATAAGAATTTGTCATTTTTCCGCAACGGGACACTGATAATGGGCAGGCGACTCCATGGGCGGAGATAATTAAGTCCCGTGGCTTTTTGACTGGAAAATGGCAATCGTGGTCGTGATTTCGTGACGGGCATCGGGCAGCATGTACTGATAAGTGATTAGATAACACCGAAACTCGAGATTTGAGATTATTTGGTTTTTGAAATTTTCACCGCAATTTCGTCCTCATGTTTGATAGATTTTGAGTTTTGGCATAAATTAGTGTCACACAGTCATCGGCCGTCTAGAGATCAATAGTTTCGATGGCTTGTTATTTCTGATGAGTTTTGATTTCGAGTGTGTTTGGAGACGACCAAGTTTTGTTTGGGATGGTATATTTTGTTTGTTGCAGTTTTGTAAAAATAACTATGAGATGTCCCCAAACGTAGTTGACCGTGACGAGACTTAATCACTATGAAGTGTGTCATACCTAGACAGAATTTGAAAAGTAACTATGATTAATACTACTTATATTTTCAAATTACTGCAATATCATTTAGAAATATATCTGAAAAAAAAAATCCCCAAAATAATTTAACATTAGGTAATTACATTTATATAGGCACCTAAATGGTTTAGAATTATTTATGTTAAAATATATAGTAGATAATATCTTTTATAATTTATAACGTGCAATTATTCGAGTAATACAATATTTTGTTCACAATTACAGTTTTATCGCGAGCATTGAACACAATGTGTCGCATTGGGGAAGATTTGTACATCGAGCCCAATTCAACGCAATTAGTCATGCATACTACCAATAGTTGGCATACCGTATATGCATGGTTTACATTTGACTCGTCATTTTTCTCTAGTTATTATTTTACTGAAGACGATGAACAAAACAGTGAAAATTCATTGAAATGTAAAATATCACTCAAGGTATATTTTGATTTGTCTAACGCAACTTTATATAAAAAGCTTAAACAAGAAAGACCTGATCATTGTATCTTATTTATTTAGTCATGCATTACAATATTCAAATCTCCACATTTATCACGCTGCTTAGAGTCATGTCATATGGAAATTAAAAGTAATGCAGATACAATTACAATTCAGTTACGTTATTCAAATTTTTGTGTTAAAACTCATTTGATACCAGTACTAGAATATTCAGCATTACAAGTGAGTTTTTGATTGGATCATTATATAGAACATAAACAATTTTTTTTATAGCGGTTCTTGTTCATATGCAGAAAAAAATAAAATATAAATCATCAACCTGGGATAATTACAATTTTTAATATTTCTAATTTGCTTTTATTAGGTGAATCAAAATGTTGATACAAGTCATGTACTTTGTATTGATTCCAAGGTGTTATCAGCTGCTGTTAAACATTTCCAGAACAGTGAAACCGACATTACATTAATTGTAACTACTGAAAAAGTGATATTGAAAACCCACTCGGAATCTTGTAGAGGTGTTTGAATTGAATCTTAAGTCGGTCCTACATGACTGACGTACTTGGCCAATACTGGTCACTGGTCATCATTGGGAAGAATTACATGTATATTTGTTGTTCACTGGCTTGTAACGGATTTTTGGTAAACTTAACACAAGTCAAATGACCACCAATATTGATTGTATGTACTATGTAACATGCTTATTGTACATATTGTACACCAGAGATACTTAAATTCTTTCACGTACCACCCATGTGTATTACAGATTGGTCATGTACTACCAATGGTTAAAAATAAAACTATTTATAATTTCAATACATTTATAAAAATAATAATTAATTTAACTGTATATTTAGTATATATTTACACAAAACATAAAATATTATTAAATCCATTACATAATAAATTACAAAAATATTAATTTACTAATTTATCGTACTACCACTATACAGCCTTCCGTGTACCATCATGTAACCTTCTGAATACCCCAGTGGTAAGCTTACCACGGTTTGAGAATCGCTGATATACACTAATCAGTAATAGTATAGGATGAAAGACCAATTTAGGTCAACATTAATCATATATCGCCAGTGACCAATTATTTTGGCCTAATACACCAGACGCGTGGGACTTTGCTTAGCATCATATTATCATAATAACTGTTGATTTGTAATTAAATTTAGATTTACTATCAATCATGCTTAATTTGTGTATTTAATTATAGATATAAGACAAATGTTAAGAACTGAATTGAACTTGCAGTCATCAGAATTTGACATCTATGATGTTGGTGAAGGCTGTTGTATAACATTTTCGCTTAAAGAAATACGACCACTGTTGGCCTTTGCAGAGCACATGGCATTACCAGTTATTATTCGTTTTAGTTCTCCTGGAATGTAAGTATAATGATCACTATGAGTATTTTATTTTATAATATGTTATATCAAGAAAATTCTTTTAAATTTGTTTTATTAGGCCTATGGTATTTGGACTTAAAAACGGCTTGACATTTGAAAGCCAATATATACTATCAACAATGAATGATAATGCAATATCTGGAGATGCCAATTCCATACGTTTAAATATTAACGCTATCGACAATACTCAGAGTACTAATGATCAACCAGAAAATCTGTTACCTAATATAAATCGAACTCAAATAGCGAGTTCTAGCTTACGAACTCCAATGCGGGTACAAGTTGAGTATCCAGATAGTATTTCAAGAAAACGCAAACACCCATCACCTACTCATCAAACGCCGAAAATAGTCAATTCAGTCAATTCTATTTCAGTAATTGAGCAGTTCAGAGAAGAATGTTTAGAAGAAGATGTCTTATTATCTCAGGTTGCTGACTTCCATGTAAATAATGAACCAATTAAAACACCTGTAAACGAGAATAGTAATTTCACACAAGAATTTTCTGATACTGCACTTGTATTTGCCAGATGTCATTCATTGCCTATAAGAAATTCCCCTATTAAAGGAAAGGGAAAAGTGCTGGTGTATGATTCAGATGGTCTTATAGATGATTCTGATTAATTAATGATTTAATTCTTGTACACATTAATTGTTCAGAAACAAACTTAAATTTATTTATTTGTTGATTGACTGCTCAAGTCCTATGTTAAAAACTGTGTTAAATAAACTATAATTTAATGTAATTGCATCGTAAATAATACAAGTTTTTTTTACTACCTACATGTAAAACAAATTACTCAAGTGAAACTCAAGTCAATTTTAATTTTTAATTTAAATGATTTGTTAAAATAGTTGTATTTAATTATAAGGAATTTGAGATGTGCAAAAAGAACAACAAATAGTGTTGTGTGAATGGGAATGAAATAAATGTGGGTCTTATACTTTTTTAACGTACCTATATGAAATAATTTAAGGATTATAAATTATAATCCACCAATTTGAAATGTTTAGTTTTAATATTTGTATGGATGCTTTAATAGTTTCAGTATTAGTATAAATGGTTAAAAATAATAACCAATAAACCATTATAGGTAAATATTAAAGATTAATAATTAATTTCTTTGTATTATAAAATATGTTAAGAGAATATAGAGAAGTAAAAAAAAATGAGTTGAAAATATTAGTTGAATCAGTGGCGGTTTTTAGGGGGGGAGGGTTAGGTTAACCCCCTTGGATTTTTTTGCATGTCCTTTTTTTAATTGAAATTACACTAAATGCTTGATTTGCTTTAATTATGGTAGGGGAGGCCCAAAAATTGAAAATAGCCCCCCCCCCCGCCTTAATGTTTTATCAAAATCGCCACTGAGTTGAATGTAATTTTGGATTTACCTACTTAGTCAATAGGCACTAAATGAAAACAATGTAATTTATTATGGTATGTATGCATTATTCTTGTAAATATTAAATAGTATAACTGAATATTTTATTAAAAAAAAAAGAATGTGTCCCATTTGTAAATGGAATTTGTGACCTCTAAAAAAAAAAAAAACTTAAGACATAATATATAAACTGATGTATTCTCTCATAGTCTCATCTATTATCATACAATAGATACATTTTTTTATAAACTTTATTAGATGTTTCAATGACAGATTATTAGGCTATAGTATTAAATCAACTACAGTGGCGCCCAACCCTATTTCTAAGTGTAGCGGTCGCTACACCTTGAAAATAAGGGGTGGATGGGTATAATAACAAAAAATAATAAACTTGAAATATGTTCATAATTAATCACAGATTACATTGGTTGATACCTTAATATTTACTAATATTATCAATACAAATATGATAAAATGTATTAAATAATATAATTTTGAGTTTTGAGAGGGTGGGTGGGTGGTTAAAATTTTTTCTTGCTACACCTGAAAAATATATCTTGGGCGCCACTGATCAAATACATTATTCAAGTCTAAATTATGATTTTTTATCTAGGCCTATATTTTTATAAAATAATTAAGTATATTTATTCTCAGTGGTGTGTTGGTTGAGAGCTTCTTCTGAGATAGTTGGATTGTTGAGAAGATTACTTGATTTTGGCAGTGGATAATTATACGTTCAATTATAAAGGGTGTTTTACATGTGTCACACGATGGCCAGGGTTCCATTAGTTGATCAAATATGAGTGGATGAGACAGCGGCAGACCCAGGATTTTTCTTTGGGTAGCGGTGGGGGGCTGATAACGTGCTTACACGAAGTTGGTTTAACAAGGGCCTCCGATAAGTTTAGCATACTGTTGACGAGGTTTTATTGTAGGTTTTGCCATTTTGATTCCGGTACGGCTGTATAAATTTGTGTCTGTAGTACCTAACTATCATAGACCATAATCATTTTTTAATTTCCTTAAAATTTGAGGGGGGGGGCTTTAGCTGGCTATAAAAAGATTTGCTCAAAATCACAAGACTTGACTTCCGTCTTAATTATTGTGGCCGGTCAGACGGATTACCTACTTCGTAAAATATACGCGTCTTATTAGTTTCACATAATACCGTCTATTATTAGGTACCTATATTATATCGTGCGTATCTACCTACCTATTTAGCCGAAACAAATATAATAAAACGAAAACACACGAAAAAAGTCGAGGTAAAACGGCAGAAAAGATAATATATATATACGTATATATACCTACTATATAATATGTATAAACTACCTATATATATATATATACATATTATATTATATACACGTATACGGTATACCTAACACTGCAAAATGCGCTCGGATCCGTTTTGCTTGATATCGAAAGCGCCGAGGGTTTTAAGCTTATTAGCAACGGCCATTAATATTGTCACCGCCAGCTTAAACCCACCGCAGTATTTTAGCGGGCTTCCTGTAATTTATGCGTACAAATTCCAAAATACTACTAAAAAAAAAAAAGAAAAAAAAACGGAAAAATACCCACTTATATTATGGCTGCTACCTCCGCGCATATACATGTATAATGTATACCTATAAATGTGCGTACTTAAATAAATAAAACGGGACTGTGTATAACGTTGGCGTTTGTCAAAGCTGTGGCGATGTTTGGAGCGAGTGGTGGGGGGGGGGGATACTGAGGGTGGCGTGTGTTTATATAATATAGGCAATATAATATAATGTGTATATAATATTATATACCTACCTACTTTATATACGGTCGAATTCATCGGCAAGAGACCGTTTTCGCGATTCGTGCACGGCCAGCAAACACGAAGTACATTTCTTGCGATTAATTACACTGCAACTACGATATACAATATATATAAGCCAATAATATAGGTAGAGGGTACCTATAGGCATAGCCGAACGCAAGTCCGTGCCGGAGACGCGTACAAATCGTTGTTAGGAAACACTATCGAGTTAGGTCCCATAGTTATACTTAATGACCGTATATATATGTTATTGCTTTGCCCGGCTCATATTATTTCTGTACGACTGTATAGGTAGGTACCTATGATATTATTTTTAATACTTATATTGTTATATCATACGAGGAGCAAATGAATATTTTTTTGTCGGTTTTAGCTGCATAGATAGAACAGGTAGGCGCATAAATATATTAAAGGTAGCTATTTATTGTATAATATGATGATACCCTGCAGATTTTAGCCGAATGTGAACGAAAACTATGTTGAATATGAATTTCGAAACCGAACATAAAATAAACTAACATTATATTTTCAAACATTATCTTGTTATTGATAGCCATAGAAAAAATACTGAAGAAAAATTGAAAATATTTATGAATAGGTCAAAAAAAATAAAATATGTTGAGGAATTTATCCCTAAAGTACCACAACTAATTTCACTTTCCTACCAGAAAAGATGTTGAAGTAGAAAATCGAAGCATTTTTAAGTCCCAAAAGGCAAAGTTAAAGGTGATGATAGACAGAAAAAAACATGACACATCGTTGTAAAATCAATAGGTAGGTAGGTACTTTCATCGCTTCGCTCAGAATCTAAAATGTAATTGTCTGTTATATAATTTACTATCATTATTTATATATCATTCTTGGGTATTGGGTTCCTACTCCTTAGTGTTGTATTAAAACCAATAAAACTAATAATTGTTTGCAACAGTCCTTGGCCATTTCACGACCCCGTGGTAAATGTTTTATATCTTCGATATATTAGGAGGTACCTATCTACCACACAATAGTTTTAGAGTAAAAACATTTATTTGTGAATTATTACAATATATTTTATTTAATCTGCGTACGGTAGTAAAATATTTTGATTTTCCTCCGAGAAATTCGCCTAACGCTATGTCCTAGCTGGTGCGTGCACGCACCGCAAATCGCAATGCGTGTAACGCATGCGATTTCTAATAAAAACAAACGTCCAGAAATAGATCGGACTGTCCTGATTGCTGACGCATGCGTTTAATTCACGATAACGCACCGCACCCGCACGTTTGAAATACAAAATAGTTTGTTTTTCGTCGCATGCGATATGCGTCATCGCAATAGAAAGTGGATGATCAACATTGTTTAAATTTATTTGTTATTTGTTAATTACATTTCTGTACAAAATGACGTATACAGATTTTGAAAAAACAGAATTGTTGATTTTTGAAGTCCAAAAGCATAATGTGTTATGGAACAAAAAGCATAAAAAATACAAAGATAGGCTTGTAGGAGCCAAAGCATGGGCAGAGGTTTCAAAAGCTACAGGAATAACTGGTAAGTATAGCTTTATTAAACTTTCCTCAAACTTAATTTATTGTAGTTTTTTAAAATACAATTTAGTTAATGGAAAAAAAATAATAATTAGTTAAATAAATACCTATGTACTAAAATTATTGGTTATATAAGTTACATGTAGATGTTTTTTTTTATAGCTAATAGGTAATATAAATATATAATAAACTAAGATCATATGTATGCATTAAACATAATATAAAAAAACAAGTAACATAATATAACATGAAATAAAAGTAGAATATGATATTATATTTTGTTGTCCTTAAAATATTGTACAAATGTATTTCTTATTTCTAGAACGGTTTGAGATGTTCTATTAGTATATCTGCCACCTTGAATACTATCCAAACAATATTTACTTAATATCCCATTTTCATTTTCTATATTTTTTATATCTGATTGATTTTTTTCAAGATTAATAATCACATTATGCAAAATACAAATAGCTTTGACGATATGGTCAGCATTTTCGATTTTTGTTTCAATCGATTTTTGAAGTATACGAAATTTTGATGCCGCTATGCCAAATGCGCATTCAACTGTCATTCTAGCTCTAGATAACCTATAATTATAATACGATTTGTTCTCGTCACTTAATTGTTTTTTCGGAAAGGGTCTTAACAAATGTTCTCTCAAAGGAAAAGCTTCATCACCTATAAATACAAAAGGTGCCATATTTGTTGTATTTGGAAGTAATTTTGCGTTAGGCACTTTTAATGTTCCTTTGTCAATACGATGGTATATTTTTGAATTATGTAAAACACCACTATCACTGTCCTTACCATATGCTCCGATATCGATCAACACAAATCGGTAGTTTGCGTCAACAATAGCCAATAGAACGATTGAAAAAAAATTTTTATAATTATAATACATAC